GTCATTTAACGAACATGTCTGTTTATTTTTTGAATATGCTCAGATATATACATCTTATTTTTTTAAACTCTGTGGTCAACACACTGAATGAGAATTTATCGAGACTGTGCAATTTGCTGTAAATCATTGATTTAGATCAAAAAGAAGTTTTTCATTTATATTAGGATTTAATTTATTGTGGATGAAATGATAGATTTAAATCGTCGTTAATTTCTGCAAAATTTCATTATTTTAATCAATTCATCTTCAAAAACACTTATGCATTGAATATTATGCTACCATACTTGCTCCATAATTTTTAATTAAAAACCTAAAAAAAAAATGATTATTTCTTTGACAAGCGTCTAACTTTAAAAGTGAAAGTCTTGGGTGATTTAGATGAGTCCATGAAATCCAATGTCTCGGTCTGTAGATGTTTGTTAGATAAGAGTTTAATTCCCATTTGCCCTTGGAGCTCAATATTGGTATAATTTAAATCCCTCATCGGTATATGGTGCCATTTTTTTTTAAACACACAAAACAGAATGCAGTCAGTCTATTGATGTATTCATTTTGTAGCTAGTTTAAGAAACAATTAACAAAAATAACATTTTGAGCATACTGTAGTTAAAGAAACACGTTTGAAATACATGCACTCTAACAATTACTGAATCTGCTTACATTTAGTAAACATGTTGGTTTTTTTATTTTAATACATTTTCTGAATTGTGAAATTTCTATATTCTTTTCTTTCATATTAATTGATCACAAAAATGACATGCTCCTAATGCATATAAATAAATAAATGTAAAACTAATACAAGTAAGATTTTTATATGATTTTGAATAAAAATGTAATATCTGTGTTATAATCGACCACAGAAGCGGTCGATTTATTAATGGTTGTGTGAGAAAGTGTACATGGGGAAATGACATTTTTTTCATGTGTCCAATGAAATATTCCTTTACTCATAACATGTATAAACATATATGTAAAATACTCCTAAACACTTTCTTACATGTACAATGTAAAGAAAGTCTTAATATTTTATGAAATAAGTAGATAATGAACAGGAATCAAGTTCAGAAGTACACTGTCACCGGTGTGACGCATTGGATAGAAAGTCTGCTCTAGAGTCGGGAAGTATGGATTTGATCCTTACGTCACAGGTTCACATCCCACCGTGGGGGATGGAGACCAGTCGTTCGGATGAGACCGTATAAAATGAGGCCCCTTTTCGCATTAGGTAATAGCATGAAAAAGATCCATTAATGCCCTATGGCCTCAAGTGCAGAGTAAAGGACTAAATTTGTAGCTCTTCATAGACAAGTGGTGGAATCTCTCTATTAGATAAAAATAAGCAAAAGAGACGCTAAACAACATATACTCAATCAATCAATCAATGTTTCTGTCGTCGAATTTTCGTATTTATTTAACAATACTCTTGTGGTTATTGTCTTAGGATCTATTTGATACCAAGAGAATGCTCTGCGTACGAACAATTTCTAAAACGAGGCAAGCTATTGACAAACAGGTTGGTGAAACAAAGACATAAACAGTCTCATTAAAAATAATCATTTCGTAAGTTCTATGGTCGATTTAATTATTTGATGACCTTATAAGCAAGTACACAATATCATTAAGTTAAATACTGACTGACTTTTTACATACTAATAGTCCGACCAATTCTTTTAAATTGATTGATTGATTGTATATTTTTTAACGTCCATCTCGAGAATTTTTCACTCATGTGGAAACGTCACCGTATGCCGGTGAAGGGCTTCAAATTTTGACCTTTAGTCGGCACTCAGGTCCATTGAGCAGTGAGGGATCTTTATCGTGCCAACACCTACCGCTGCCGCTCGGATTTTAGGTCTCATCCGAAGGACCCGCAACTTTCACTTCAAAGTGCCGAGCTCATGGCGAAGGAACAGTTGCTACCCATTTTATCGACTAGGTCAGTCGCGGCCAAGATAGGAACTCACAACCTCCCGGTCACGGAGCGAGCGCTCTACCGACTGAGCTTCCGTGAACGGTTCTTTTAAATTGAACTGTAATGTTCAGTCAAGAGAAGGAGCAAAAGGCAGTGTGTAGTGGACAGAGAGTTCTTAATCCTCCATGGCAACTGATCCCAAGGATGTATTATCGGTTTGTGTTTGCTTTGCTCAGGATTTTTTTTTCGAAGGGAACTATGAAATTGAATTTTGTACTTTATCTTCTTTATTAATTCAATAAGAGATATTATCACTATATTCAATTTTACTTAGTTTTCTCAAACAAATTTGATTCCATAAATGTTACATCATATCAATAAACCGCGCGGCAATGTGGAGACAATTGAAGAGGCTAAAAATAAAGTTCTAAAAATTGATTTTAGAAAAGTTTTTATTAAGTCTAACTCACGCACTTTTATTATTGCCATTCTGTTAAAAAGGCTTGAATTAAATAGGAAATTGCACAATATCGGTAACGTTATAGCAAGTTATATTATCTGCGCAGTTAAAATATCCATTGGACATCGATTTTTAAAAACATTCTCTACTGACACCCTTTATAGTTTGTTATAGATAGGAGCAATCAATTATAAGTAATGTTTGAATCATTGGCTTTAAAACAAAATGAGTCCTGTCATGGCGTCGGAAGCAAAACTGAAAGTGGGAAGGGGGGGGGGGGGCTAATTCAACAAAAAAAGGTATACTCCAATTTTCAATGCCTATATTTACGGAAGCGTATTAGTACCACGCAATTTCCTTTTTAAGTTGGTCTTTCCAACTTTAATCTTGGCTTTTCCAACTTTAAAGTTGGTAATTGCAACTTTAATCTTGGCTTGTGGTAATTCCAATTTTAAAAGTTGGAAATTCCAACTTCAAAGTTGAAAATTCACACTTTAAAAGTTGGTAATTCCAACTTTAATCTTGGCTTTTCCAACTTAAAAGTTGGTAATTCCAACTTTAATTTTGGCTTTTCCAACTTTTAAGTTGGTAATTCCAACTTTAATCTTGGCTTTTCCAACTTTAAAGTTGGTAATTCCAACTTTAATCTTGGCTTTTCCAACTTTAAAGTTGGAAATTCCAACTTAAATCTTGGCTTTTCTAACTTTGACTTTTAACGTTTAAGAAAGGATTTTATCATTTATTTACTTATTAATTTTTTGCTTGTCAACATATTTGTGGTTGGGATGCCCCCCCCCCCCCCTTGAAAAAAATCCTGGATCCTCGCCAGTACGGAATTGATATATTTAGTTATGTTGTGTATAATTTAGCAGAAAACGTTTCACTTGATTAAATTAAAATTAATTTTGATTACATTGAGTATTTAATTGTTGTCTCATTCTTTCATACAATACATAATAAATGACTAATATCTGTAATTGGTTAAACTGAAATCCTGTCATGTACGGAATACTAAGTACATAATATATATGAAGTTATTCTTAATAGAATTACACAAGAGAAGAAAAGGAATATAAGGATTTCTAAGTAAAAGTTGGAAGTTTTATGTAAGGTCATAAGGAAGGTCAAGGAAAAAAATAAAACAAACACAGATAAAAAGAGTATTTATTTTCCATTGAAAAAGTACCATATCATAACTCACCCTAATCCCATCCGCTTTCCTTACCCCCCCCTTCCCATATTTCGACCCCTACCTCTAGATTGCAATGATAAATTGCTAAGAAATCTATGTCAGTGTGTTATTCTCACTTTAATTAATTAAGTTTGTGACACTTTAAACAAAAGAAAAAACTATAAGAAAAGCGGGTAGAAAAGCCAAAATGAAATTTGGAAAAGCCAAGATTAAAGTTAGAATTACCAACTTTAAAGTTGGAAAAGCCAAGGTTTAAGTTGGAAAAGCCAAGATTAAAGTCGGAATTACCAAATTTAAAGTTGGAAAAACCAAGATTAAAGTTGGAATTACAAATTTTAAAGTTGGAAAAGCCAAGTCTAAAGTTGGTTGGGTGTTCTTTTTGATGTCAAAAAATGGTTCCTTTAACTATAAATATGTAATTATGCATTCCCTTTGTGATAAAGACGTACCACATTCAATAATGACCCTTTGTAGTCTTTATTGTTGGAAAACATTTCACTTTTCAGTTAAAAAAATTTATAAATCAAAAAGTCCATGTCCCAAAATTCCTTTCATTGAGCATTGTTGAAATAAGAAAAGAGCTACATGTATTATATGTCGATCTAATTAAAATTTCTAGAAAAAAATTATCTTCTTTATATAACAATTTAAACAATAGGGCTTATTTCAGGGATCTCTGTCTAGTTTGTCTAGTTTGTTGCATGGGTATGCCAGGGAATCACCGGTAGTTAATAGTTTCAATAAAGGGCGGTAGCTATTCTTTATATTGTTATGAATTTTTATGAACATTTTAGGGGGTTAAAGTAATAGATTGACCGATTCACACGGCGAGATGATATTTTGCCTGTACAAAATAGGAGCAGGGCAAACAAGGACCTCCGAAACATCAGAGGTGGGATCAGGTGCCTTGGAGGAATTTAACCTGACATTTTTATGCAGTGATATATATAAGTCAAGGTATTTTATTAAATACAAATAAAATTCCTATCTTTTAGATTGTTATGTTCTGTCAGTATACATAAATATGGTACACTTTTAACTGTTTAAAGTTTGCTATTCAAATAAAGCATATTTAACAGGGAAAACATATCAAATACATTTAAAGTAATCTTATCTTACATTCTAACGTTTATTAGTCTTGAATAAATTACAAAAAAATCTGTGAAATCATTATATCATACGCTTTATACACTATACATTACATAAAAATACCAGTAAAGTATTTTAAACAACAGGCATATTTTCCAGAATGTCTTGCTATGTATTTTTTTTTTCAATCAGGGCATGTATTGATTTTTATTTTATTCAAACTTGAAGAAAAGACTTTCTTGATGTGTAATGCAATGTATTGTCAAAGATTTATCTTGTATATGTCATGATTTATGATAAGTTTTCACTTCCTTTCGTTTTTCTTTCTTTTTACATTTCAGTCCAGGTGAATATGGGACTACTACCCGTCGACAATTTACAACACAAAATAGGTTAGGGAATTCAAAAATAAAAACAACACAAAGCGCGGGTTTCTATTATTTGATTAACTTATACAAATATGAGAAAATGCATTCTTGAAAAGAAAATGTTTTTAATAAGTAAACATTATATGAAAGAGAGAATTTTTTAAAAAGGTATTTTGAAGTATTTAAGCTAATACATTTTTTACACAAGTGACGTCACCAAACCACACCCTGATTCTACGTTCTGCTACATTAACGAAGTCCACGATTACCGACATTGCCCGCTCGGTTGCTGTGTTGGGACATGCTGCAAGTACATGTAAGAATTGATTGATTGTATATTTGTTTAGTCCCATTCGATTAGATAATATTTCCCTCGTTTTGTGACGTCACAATATTCTCGTGACGAGTTTCAAATTTTGACATTTACTCGGAGTTTAATTTTTATTGAATGATTTTAAATTAGCTGTACACTATGGGATCATGATATTCTTACATTTTTTTATATCTTAAATTGTGTTCTGATTCAATATTTATTGATTCATTTTTATAATAATGAACATTTAATTTTATTTTTCTCATGCTAAGTTTATGTAAAACGTTTCAATATTTTTTATTTGTCCATGTAAACTCCCTAAATATTTTTTTTTCATCGTGAAAATACGATAAATTGTGAAATATTTAGTTAAGGTTTGATAAATGTGCTAACATGCAATGAAAAGGTCATAAAGGCGATGATAAGAAAAGAAATTTTGAAAAGTCTTTACTTTAAATACTTTTGTTATTTGATACGTGCACCATTTACAATTATTACCTAACCTACTATATAAATTATAATTAGGCATTTTGAACTGTTTCACGGTTTACTTTATGTTTTTGCGTGATCATGAAACAGTGAACTGTTGACCTGGCCACAGAATGAACTGTTGACTGTTTAAAGCGTCATCGTGATATTCAAGCGTTTTGATGATCACGAAATTATCTGCTCTATAATTAATCAAATTTAAATAAAACACACAAACAATCAATTTATTAAGCATTACTTTAAATTAAAAATACTAATCTAATCTTTATATTATGTATTCAGCTAATTAATAGACAAGTATGTGAATTAAAGTTGTGAAAACTTTTTTATTGATTGTTTGTGTGTTTTTATTCCAATTTAATTAATTATATTAGTAGGTTAGGTAATAAAACACTCATTCAATGACTACTCGGTGAAACAGTCAAAATGTTGTCCCTCGGTAGTGGGGGAGACCTGGGAAACTTTTGCCCTCGGCCTTCGGCCTCGGGCAACAGTTTCCCAGGTCTCCCCCACTACCTCAGGACAACATTTTGACTGTTTACCTCGTAGTCATTAAATAAGTGTATACCAAAATATGTCAATAATTTGAACCAATCCATGCTGTTCAATCTTAATTACATTAGTTATCCTTATATTTTTTTTAAAATTTAATTTAATATTTTTCGTTACAGTGAAAGTGATATACTCCACCCTGGCCTAACGATATGTTACATAGAAGCCGAGCAGAGTTATCGTTACTGTGGGTATGGCTGTTGTGAGGGAAAGTGCTGCAGGTGATTTGCATACAAAACTGTTATATACAGTGTACCAATAAAATTCAGGATTGCAGCAATTCTTTTCAAGCATTTTGGCTAGTGTGTTTTATGTCTCCATAATCGAAAATTCGGGGGTACATGTATATAGTTATTGCCCTGAACGTCCGTCTTTCCGTCTGCTTGTCCGAAAGAACTTTGAACTTGCCCATAACTTATGACTGTGAGCGACTATGACATTCATATTTCACAAATATCTTCATAGATCTTTCTTGGGTACCAACAAATTTGACCTCTTGACCTTGAAGATTGACACTTCTACAAAAATATACCAAACTTTAATTATGGTTACAACGTTTGAGCAGTTGATGCTAGGGCTTTCAAACTTCATTAAGTATATATATTTATTGTTTGATTGCTAATATTTTTTATCTTCTGACCTTGACCTTAGAGCTCGACCCAATGTATAAAGATTTTAAACATCGATGACAACTTGTGAACATCTAGTACTAGAGTTTTGATATTTTACAGGTGCATTCCTTGTAAAATTAAGAAACATATTTTTATTTTATAAAACATTCCATTACCTTGAATCCCATTATTGAGACACACTGAATAAAAAAGAAATCTTAATGTGCTTGGTATTCGATAACACATTTAAGTAACGTATATAATTTTTTTGATAATTTTTTTTTGGATAATCTCTCCTAAACATCGAACTATTCATTTTGTCTCTATCGTTTGGTAACAAAATGTACAGGGTGTTTCATGACTATGAACCATATAACTGAACAGTCTTTTGAACAGTTTTACTCTTTCAAAAGAATTGTAATCTTGTCATTTATTGAATCGCTGCATGCACATGTATGTCAATTTGTTTTGTCTGTTAAAGCCATCCATCTTCCACTATGTGTTGGATAAACAGTATACACGATTACAAGTACTGTCCAATGGGGTGCTGTGGTGACAAATGTTGTAGGTTAGTCAATCTTCTGTACTTATTTTTAAACCCTTACTCACAACAAATTAACTAGAAATTCTACCTTTGAAGAGGTCTTCTTCACTTATGTATACAAAAGAACTTTCTGGGCTATCAAGATAGGAATAAAAATTAAATCCTAAATTAGTCTAACGCTGTGTGTGATTACTCAACAGGGGATTTGTATTCATCCTAGCCACAAGATTCCAGTCTAGAATTTCCATGGGTTCATATTTTATCCCCTTTAACAGATTTACATTGTTTGTGGATTTTTTTTAGATATAATACATGTAATATTGAAACTTCATTATATTTACCATTTGCATTTGTAGAGACGGCTCCACAATACAATCAAACTCTACTCTCTGTTACGATTATAAGAAAGAAGATTACATCTACTGTTCTCATGAATGTTGTGGAGGGAAATGCTGTGATATGATCTATCAGCAACAACAAGGCCATCATATGTATGATACATCTATAAAAAATCTATTATTTATTTATTTATGCAAAGGTGATATATTATTGGCTTATTTATAGGACAAAGTGGATTCTTCACTATGCAACACATAACATTAATTTTAAAAAATTGTAAAGATTTGTCATGTCAGCTTGATATAATATTTATTGATATCTTATCATAAGTCTAGATATAGTATTGTCCTAATTTTAAGGTTATTTTTTATCAGATCTGTTGCCAGTATAGTCTTTATTGTCCTAGGAACCATTTTAACCCTGGTTTGTGTCGTCGGGCTCGTTGTCTACGTTATTTCCCGCCGGAATGGAATTTCGAGAACACCTAATATGATGCAAACTGTTTATTCCGTCCCTAAGCAGAATGCATATGTTTGTGTCTGTATTTAAAATTAATCCCACTTAAAAAATAAATATAGCTAGTTTCCAAATAAATCACTTGGGGTTTTGAAAAAAAATGGATATAGGTTGTTCATGGAAATTATAGTAAAAATTAGTAAAACTCTTTTACATACATGAATCTAGTGAAAGTTCAAAGAATAATTACTACTATATAAAGAAAGGCAAGTGTTTTGTGAAAACCCCGGTATCTGTTTAGTTTAGTTTCAAAACATCACTTGTACGCACTCGCTCATAGGAGTGAAATTGTTCATTGAAATATTTTGCAATACTTTTAAATTGAACATCGCTAAACCAAACCTATTTTGTATGTGATAGTAAAAATGAAGCAAGTAATGTTCTTTTTCTTTGTAGATCATAAGCCGTATCAGAAAATTTGAAGTTATTCTGAAGTTTGATCCAAATTAGCATTGCTAAAATACACATTTGTGCAATTTCTCTGATTAAACAGCTTGCAATTATCATCTTATGTAGTCACGAAAACAATCTACAATTGTTTTGTTTTATAATATCATACATGTACATAGACTTTGATCCTTTTTTTTTTTTGTTAATACAAAGACTTTGATACAACATGGAATGTCTGGTTTATAAATAAATACATTCATCTCTACAAAAGTTATACTTCTTTATATCTTCAAGTATTGTTTGTCATATGCCTGTGTAAGTTAAATGATTAATTTTCAAATTATAATTATGTTGAATATTTGCTAATGATAGTAAGTTACTATTCTCATCTAAAAGATCATTAACATATTTTTCTCTTTTTACATACCAGGACTTGTAGAATATTGATTGATTTTCAATTTTAAAATTGTTGCTTTACCATAAAGGTTGACAGGCATATTCTTGCCTATTTCATCTCTATTTTCTCCTGAATTTCCTAGAAAGCTTCCAAGTTTTGTTTTGTCAAAAAAATTATTGCTTTTCAATGTTTCTGGGGACCAAGTCTCCAAAAAATTTGTTGGAATTTCATGAGTATCAATTGCAGCTTGTTATAAGTAGACCTGTTTTTAGACTTTTTATTTTCAACTGAGGTAGAATTTATCCTCACATGAGAAGAAAATTGCTGTGGCCTTCAACTCGACACGAAGACATGTCGACGACACACGATCAATTTACAGTAGTTTTTTTTCTTTCACAAAACACAAGGAAAGCTGTATCCATATGCATTAAGAAAGAAGATTTTCTATTCGTGTCCTCTTTCATGTCAACAAATGAAAGAAAAAAATTACTATTGAGTCTGATATATACATCTGCATGTTTCATATTTGGGTATTTTACTACAGAAGAACCTTTGTGGTAATCTAACAACCAAGCTTTCTGATAAACTTGATGACGAACTAAATTTCAATAGCCAACTTCCCTTACTTATGCAGCAATATACCTAATTCACCTATTCACTGTGTTTGCTCCTCTACAAAATTTGTATTGTTTAATGGACTTTTGAGGTTAAATACTTTTCCGTTCTATATATATTTTGTGCAAGATAATAAATAGCATATCAACATTGATATCTCGCTTTTTGACATAAGTAACACAAATGTTAACACAATTATCTTGCATATTGACAGAAATAAGTTGTGTACATTTTCATCTTGCATAATGTTGCACTTGAACAAAAATAAGTAACATGTCTACTTAATGCTCTCGCATACTATCATAAATAATTCGTATGTCAACAGAATATTGATGGATCTTGCTTGTATGATAGCATATAATGGCGTTAATCAGTAGTTTTGATGACACTAAACTTAAATTCTAACAAGACTGGTAACTTGATTGCTAACATAATTATTTTGCATGTTGACATGGAAAAGATTCGTGTTTACCTAATTAACGTGCATTCTACACATAAATGTTGCATGTTGTTGAGTGTAACATTGAAAATTTTTACCCCAAGAAAACCAAATGTCAATGACATTGACAATGGTTTTCGAGGGGAGAAAATTTTCAATGTTACACTCAACAACATGCAATATTTATTATATTATACTGAATATTTATACAGAAACTTATCACAGTGAAGCGTGTGCGCATAAATTCTGCGCAGTCGCTACTTTTTTTGGTATATCACCCGTTGTCAAGCAATGTTGACTGTTGCTACGCTGGAGGGCGTGGCTTCATTATTCAGCGGGTAACAGTGTTTTTAACAAATGTTTCTCGACCAATCAGAATCAGCTTATTTACATAAAAGTATAATATCATTCGCAGTACTGTTGAAGCTTGAAAACGGGGGCGGGGCCTAATTTGTACGGAAAATGTGTACTGTGAAAATAGGCTTATATTCCACCTAAGAATGCTTCAATTTGGAAGTGCCTATAATGCAAAATTAAATGAAACTAAAATGCAAGAAAATAAAAAATAGTTTTTACTTTCATGAGCATTTTCAGCAAATCTTTCTTCTTGTAGGAAAAAGAGAAGCAGATCACAAATGTTGACCAGAAGACAAAGAACTCTGCAAAAAAAAATCTGAGCTCTTGAAATAACATGAAAAATATGAAAATATGGAAGATATTCGATTAAAGGATCCTAATGATGAAATTCTGGAATGACGAAATTCCTCATGGAGAGCCAATAAGAAGTTTTGAATTGACCATCTCTGCTTAAAATGCATGAAAGCCCTTAAAGCTGTTGCCCTGTTGCTGAACACACTTTTCTCCTAGACTGGAATTAAAAACTGTTTAATTTCTAGCATTAAAACATACTTTGAAATATGCTGAGGAAGGATCCCCCTCTCCTCTTGATCAAGTAAGGTAAAACATTCTGCAAAGAGTCGCGTTTAAATTGAATTTTTTCATTATTTTCCAAGAATGAACTACATAAATTCATTTATTATGGTTTAATATATATCATAATTGTCTATTTTAAGTTTTTGTCGCCATAGTAAGAAAACAAAAAATAATTCTGTGAAATATTTCAAGATGCTGTATTATTAAACATTTTCTCTTACTGTTTTTTGTTGTTGTTGTGTGTGTGTTTTTTTTTTTCATCACTTCATGCATTTTCATGCATAAACGTGAATAATAATATTGCATTTTTTTGTTTACAAACAATCAAGAAAATTCATGAAGGTTCTTGAATTTTTTCATTCAGGAATATTCCTGAATAAATTTTACAAATTATTCATGAACAGTTCATGAAGATTCAATGAATTTATTATTGGAAAATTTTTGAAATGATGATGACTCTTCATGAATAATTCATGAAAAATAATATTCTTGAATATTTATCAATTTTCTTTCATGAATAATAATTCATGATTTGAAAATGTCAAATAAGTTCACAGGTCCTTCATGACCATTTCATGAATAAAATTCATGAAAAATTCAAGGGAAATCATGAATTATTCATGATCATCTCGCTGGTGAAAGTATACAGAAACAATTTGTATCGTAAATTTGTAGGTTCAACTAGTGTATGCCCTTGAGATATTGAATTTGTTTAAGACCTCCATGTACACATACTATGCAATTATTCACGTGACTGTCCATTGATGGGACAAACTTAATTCGGTAAAGAGTGTGGTATAATTTGTCTATATTTCATTGATTCCTTTATAGTAGGCCTTAATAGTGCTGCGTTATTTATCTGGCAGGAATATGCCACCATACTTTATAAAGTGTTTTAGCTGATTTCAGTTTCACTTTCGAGCTTGTAAAATAATTACAACTTCCTGATATCGAAAACGAAACTTATTTATATTTTTTCAGGTGAAGTTCATAGCACTAACCTGAGAACTTAATTCAAGAACTTAAGGAAATCGAAAACGGACTTTGTTCCAAATGGGGATTTTTAAGTGACCTTTTAATTCCAAGGTGTGCATAAGCATATACATGTATAGATATAGGAATAATGCCGGTGTGGATTTTTGCGGCCGCGGCAATTCCCATCCTCATTCCTTTACTTCCTTTATTTCTTGGCAGACAAAATGTTCTTGGACAAAATTTTTTTGCTTTTCTGAACATCAACAACAACAACATCAACAATATTGATAACAATTGCAATGTATGGAAATACATTGCGCTCTCGCTAATATTAATCTTCATAATTTTTTTATGCCTGATCAGGATCTCAGAGGGATTCAGATTTAAATTGTGCGAATGGATGTGCGACGCTTGCTGGTAAACATTTCATTGGAAATTTTTTCATACATTAATACGACTTTTGTTTCGCCTTTCCTTTGAGAGAATTCGTGAAAAATGATATTATAGTAGAAAAAAGAAAAGTTCTAGTTTTTTTGTTAACAAGAATTGGCTGATGTGTAAATAAGATTAACCTTTTTTGTTTGTATTGTTATTGTGGATATTTAAAACATTTTTAAGGACATTATAAGTCTATATATTGTCAAATATGAATACATTGTATCTCAATGAACCTATCTTTTCATGAGTATTCTTTCAGAGAAGTTCTAGATGCTGTGTGAGGTAGATGCTTCATTTCTTCATTAAAGGTACATGTATTAAAAATCATAAAGCAGTAAACTTTATTTATACATCTAGATGTGTTTTCTTGATTACACTACAATGCATCAATAATACATATCGTGGTCATTTTAAGCAAAAAAAAAGGCATAGATTTTTTTAAAATATATTCCATATTCATTTTCATGTACCCATGAATGAATAATATCGTCTATAAGTATGCTTTATGTGTTGATTAAACATCGTTAAGTGTTTTCAGTATTACGATATGTGTGTTTGACAATGACTTTAAAATCCATTTACTTGTTTAATACCTATAAGCTTTTTAAAAGATATTTGTAATTAACAATGACTTTGAAAAAATCTATTTATTTTGCTTTGATTACCTTTGATCTTATTGCTAACATTTTTTTTTCTGAGATTTTGGTTGCTTGTTTGTTGTACCATCTATCTGTCAACCTTTTTCTTATGATGTTTGCATATTTTTTTAATGTGCCATTTTTGCAAACTTTTTCGTATGATGTTTTGATTGTCTTGTTTTACAGATACTTTTTTCTAGTCACTTTTGGGGGATCAGACATTATCAAATTTTACGTAACTGATAAGCAAAGTTTGTGAGTCTGATCCACTTCTTGTTTGTTAAATTGTGTACATTGATACCGTCATTTTAATAAATGACAATATTCATCTCTATGAGAGTATTTATTTGATTTGTACAATATTAGCAATACCGAGCAGGATGAGCTTGCGTATACGCAAAAGAATAAATAAATATTTTTGAAAGCTTTCTGAAGTCATCAAATATCAAATATTATTTAAAAGTATAAACACTGCATGAATATTTATGATAATGTTATTGTGAAAAGTCAAAAGCCATGAAGGGACATGAGGATTTTTAGAAAATTGCAAATTAAACCTATATCTCTATTTGTACAATCCGTTCTCTCAGAATGCGA